AGTAAGGGACAGCTGAGGGGAGAGAGGTAAAGCCCTTTCCCGCCAGCTCCAGCTCCAGCCCCAGCCTGGCCGGTGGGCCCCCTGGCCAGGTGCCAGGATCCTCCCATGACAAGAGGCCTAGCTGGGAAGGCCTCGGGGTAGGGATGAGAGTCACCCAGCAAACAGGTTCTGGGTGCTTTTGCATTTGACTGTAATCACCATCAGGAATCACAGGCTCCATCTGGGCTCCCAGCAGGGCAGTGGGATAGGCCCTCCCCTCCCTGGCCAGCGGCACCTCTGCCAGAACTCACCCCTCCTGCCCCTGTGCCAGCTGGAGCCAGGCCCTGACAAGGAGGCTCACTGTCACTGGCCATGCACCTTCCCTCATCTCCAACACTGCCTGTCCCCTCTCTGCCTCTCCTGGCACCGGGACCTGCCACCTCCTCCACTGGGCAGCAGGTGTCCCAGTGGCCTGGCCCCACTGAGCTCCCTTTGGCAGAGCTGGTTCCCACTGTCAGTGCCCACTCCCCACGCAGGGTCCTTGGGTGGAGAGTTTAGAAGCCCTGTATCCAGTGCCCCATGTGACCAGGGGTCTGTAGGATTGGAGACCCACCACCTGTTATAAATAAAGCTTTATTGGCACAAACCATCCTCATTTACACGTTATCCAGGGCTGCTTTCATGCAACAGCAGACGGACTGACCCCAAAGCCAAAACCAACCATCTGGTGCCTCAAGGGAAAAGTTCACCAATCCGTGTTCTGGACCGAAAAGCCTTTCGTTTTACTGGGGAACAGCATGCAGCCCTGGGTCCTCCTCCTGACCAGCTCTAAGACCTTGGGCAAAATGCCTGGTGGCAAGTGGGTGAGGCCGGCCAGCGGGGTGGGGCACGGGGACCCTGCCCTGGGCGCAGAGTCTCCTGCTCCACGGCAGCCTCTGGGCCTTGCTCCCTGCCAGGGGCCACAGCTCACCTCTTGTGTCCAGACTGGACGCCCGCTGGCTGGGCTCCAGCTTCCACTTCTTGACCTTGAAGTAGGGGCTGGCCCCATCCAGGCTGGCGTGGCGCCTCAAGCGGGTGAAGAACTGCAGAACAGGGCCCGCCCCAGAGCCGGGGCCCGCCTCCCCCAGTCCTGCTGCCACCCCGGGGCCCCCAGGCTTGGCACTCCTGACAGCCGCATCCAACTGTGAGGAAAGAGGGATTCTTTCAGACACGCAGACTCCTGGCCTGGTTCACAGCTCTGCATTTGTGCTGAGGAAGAGCCAGGGACTCTCGGGGAGTAGGAGCCATGCTAAGCCCAGGGGCTGGGGCCTCCTTCCCACTGAGACCCTGCCTGAGAGGCTCCCCAGGGGCTCAGCCAGTCACTGGCCAGCTCTGTTCTCCCAGCCCTGAACAGAGGGGGTCGGAGGGTGAGCATCTGGGGTTCCTGGCCCACTGCCCGAGATGGGGCCTGAACCCCGCCACCCCCACCTGCAGCTGCCACCCTGCCCCTGGCATGCGTGCACCAGTGGCCCCTCTCCCTCCTGAGTGCAGGGGCCAGGAGGGCCATGGTGGGTGGGGGACCACAGAATGATTCTTCCTGGGGTGGGGCAGGGGTGCCTACACAGGGGCCTCACCGAGGTGCCTTCCCCAGAGTCACTGGATGCCGAGGGGCTGATCTCGAAGTCGGCAGGGCCCACGGCCGAATTGTAGGGGTCACCTGGCAGGGCGGAGCTGGGGCCCACGGAGCGGCCAGTGAGGGCCTTCCCCGGGGGCTGTGGGACAGAGCCGGGATGGGGGAGGAAGCAGTGACAGGTCAAAGAGCACAGGTGGCTGAGAGGGTGTGCTGGGCCTGCCACCCACAGTGTACCCAGCCGGCCCACCCCCCATCCTGAGATGAGGGGCCCAGCTGGAGGGTGGGGAAGGCAGTGAGGGTGGGGTCCTGCCTGGAGCCCTGGGCCAGCCACCAACCCCTCCTCACCTGGAATATGGCAAGGCTGGCCTTGGGGGCTGCAGCGGGGTGCGGTGTGGTGGCGGCACTGGCCTCGCCTGAGTCACACTCATGGATGGTGACAATCTTGAGGGGCGGCAGGTGCAGGTGTGTGAGGCGGGCGTTCTTCAAGTGATGAAAGTCCCCCTCCGTCAGGGTGTACCTGCGCCCAGCATGCCTGCCTGTCACCAGCGGGCTGCCCCCTCAACGTGCAGCCCCACTGAGGGGGAGCCAGGCCCCCAGCCCACACCCTGCCATCCTCTCTGGGACTGCTGTCACCCTGCCAGGTGTAGGGGAGAGCAGGGCATCCAGGGAGGCCAGCCTGCTCCCCCACTGCCCAGCCTCCATACCTGCGGCCCTTGTCCCTCGCCTTCCGGCTCTGCTCAAATAGGGCTGCCTCGTTGAAGGACACCCGGCGGCCAGTGGAGCCAGTGGACAGGAAGCGCTCGGTCTCAGCATCCTGGCCCTCAGGGTCCTCCCCCCTGAAGTCGGGGTCTGCGAGGAGAGCCAAGAGAGGGTGGGCCCCGAGCGGGCCGTGCTGGGTGCCAGGC